GACCATAAGTTCACCCGTCTGGCCTCGCCACCATTTCTTTTCTAAAAACTTCCTGGGGAAATACCCAAAGAGGAAGGCACGTTTAAAACAAAGTGATTATTAAAATCAACATTTGCTTTAACCTTAGCACACCATAAATAGTTGTGCCATCCAAATCTTAATTCATGGCTGTCAAGCTTGAGGAACCTGTTATTTTGGAAAGTAACCGACTTTTTTTGCCACACAAAACAACAATCATCAAAGTACAATTTCAAATTTGGTAAACCCAAACCTCCTATTTTCCTTAGCATCTTGTAATAATTTATATTTACTTCTTGGTTTTTCTCTTGCCGTATAAACTTAGAGATGTCCAACTGCCATAGCTGAAATGAAGTATCAATGACAAGTTTTGGTAAAGTGAGGGTGAAGGTTCATTCTCCGAGCTTGTGGGTTGGTTTCCGAACCTTTCATTACCAGGCTAGGTAACATCTTCGGCGGAGTTTAGGACAAGGGTAGGCAACCTTGGCTCTTTTATGACTCGTGGACTTCAACTCCCAGAATTCCTGAGCCAGCCATGCTGAGGGGAAAGGGAGAGGTTTCCAAGCTGAGCCATGCCGGCTCAGGAATTCTGGGAGTTGAAGTCCACAAGCCATAAAAGAACCAAGGTTGCCTTACCCCTGGTTTAGGAGATGTCAGTGTCAGTGTTCTGTTTATGAGGGCTTCAGGTGTGGGTGTGTCAAGTGAGGGCCTTGTGATGGGTCAGGTGTGGGTCATCAGTGAAGTCTTGTGATTTGCCTTGTGATTGGGAGGTTACATCAGGTCAGGGGTCATTGGAGGTGAACTTCTGGTGGAAGGGGGGCTTACATAGGTTGGTTGAGGGTCAGTGCTGTCTCTAGTTTGCTGTAAGGTCAGTTTGGATTCTGAAGGGTCCGTAGGCTGGTTTCCCCTAAAGTAAGACCTACCCCGAAAATAAGCCTTAGCTTGATTTTTGGGGGGGTGGGCCTAATATAAGCCCTACCCCCCAAATAAGCCCTAGTTTTAGGGTGAGGTACACATCTAAAAATCAAGCTAGGATGGGGGCTGGGGTGTGAAGCTTGCATCCAGGCCTCTCCTCGCCGGCCCACTTCTGTGGCATCCCCAGGCCTGCATTCCGCAGTCAGAGGCCTT